TACCTGGTCAAAACGTATGGTACGTTTAGGAGTGGTATAGTCTGGAAGTGGTAACGTAGGGGGGGTGTGGATTTTGACTTTTTGGCAGTAAAATCCGCAGGAGTCATCAACTTCAGATTTTATGTGGAAAAACCTTGTCATCTGTTGCAAGGGTGCAAACAGATGACAGTTGTTGCTGCTTGTGAGCGGCCAGAACATTGGTTGCCGCTTTAACCACCTTCACCATTTCCAACCAATCATACGTAGTTGGCTGAATATCTTCCTCCTCCTCGTCCGTGTCTACCTCCAAGCTAGACTGGCCTAGCTTGTCAGTATTCTCAGCTGACAGAGACATATTCTGTCTAAAGTCTATCATAGCAAGTATCTCAGGGGAGAACTTGCGACGACAGACGGCCTCTAAAATCTCCCTGGTTATAATACCAGAGCTCTCCCTCACTGCAATGAGCGCCTTGGCTAGGCTTGCACTCACATTAGGTATTGCCTGTAGCCTTTCCTCAGATGAAAAGTTAATGGCAACCAAGGGTGGTTGCACAACCTCTGCTTCCTGAGAAAATATCTCGAACTTTCCCTTTATATTGATATTCTCCATAACAACGAAAGATACCGAGAAATATTCGAGTTAAAATGTGTTTTAACTAAATAAATCTCAATATCTATCTTCTCCACCTTTATATGGCAAAAGGGCTAAATGGAGTTTATCAAAATATAACAGTTACTGTACCAGTGGCAGCAGAACGAAAAGGAAATCCGAAAAATAAACAAATTCCAAAGAATTTGGTCCTTCCAGGCCACGTCTAACCTAAGCGGAATTTGATGGCAAATTCCCGCTTAACTACGATTATTTACGTAGAAATTCTGGTTTAAATCGTTCAAGCAGATTGGCCCACTATGAACAAAACCAAGAATTCAGGTAGACTCCGTTCTATGAGTGCAGAATTTGAGGGCAAATTCGTACACAATCGGTAAAAATATGGACCTTTGGTAGCGTCTATCTTTCGGAACGGAATTCGTAAAAATTACCGCTGCCACCAATATAGAACTGTCGCAATTGATTATAAAGGGATTGACAATACAAACAATCGACTTACCTTCCACGTCTGGATCGTAGCCAAGCTAGGAATTGCCTAATTCTTCTTAGTTATTTATTACACTAATATGGCGCCCAACTGTCAGCCTAACACACTAGTTCCGGTTGGTCCGGAACCTTTCGTTAACTTCCGTCAACCCCCGTAACCAGCCCCCGAAGAAAACCCTCTTCCCGGGGAGAACTTCCCCTTCAGTAGCATTTAAGTATAGTATAAAATATTTCGGTCGCTATATATATACTCTGGTTATCTCACCCGGGGCAGATAACCAGAGTATATATATAGCGAGAGATATTTATGAAACATTACATACATGCTACTTAAGGGGAAGTTTTTCCCGGGAAGAGGGTTTTCTTCGGGGGCTTCAATGCTTAAGAAAATGGGGCTTGGCAATCTTTTTGGGGAAGTGTCTTAATGAGTTCTTTTTACGGAATAAACGCATTTTCCGTAGAAGGCAACTCACCCGGGAAAGATTTCTTATATGCATATATAATGGTAGTTAATAGCACCCGGGTGATTTACCTTCTAGCATATATGTATACGTTCATTCCGTAAAACATCATTAAGACAGTCCCCCCAAAACATTATCAAGCCCCATTTTTAAACTATAAAGGCCCCCGAAGAAAACCCTATTCCCGGGGAGAACTTCCCCTTCAGTAGCATGTATGTAATCTTTCATAAATATCTGTCGCTATATATATACTCTGGTTTTCTGCCCCGGGTGAGATAACCAGAGTATATATAAGACAGCTGTAATATTTCTGCATTTATAACATGCCACTGAAGGTTTATTTCTTTCAAAAAATGGGCATTTGCATTCTTTCAGCTAAAGTTACTTTCTTCCATTTACGGAATAAACATATTTTACTCACAAAATAAATCGCCCGGTAAAGAATCAAAACAAAGTTATAATTCGTGGATGCCATTTATCCCATATTGAACCTTATTATCATTTGTTTCATGTGTTATAACCATATATGGATAAACACATAAATAGGGTCCCAATAATTTCGCGAACCTCGTGATTGGTATTAACAAATAAAGTAAAGTGACACGTTGCAATAATGTCTAATAGAAATCGTGAAATTTATACTCAATGGACGGTAATTCAAGATATAGTTGGACCTGCTAATCTTTGGCCACATACTATAAGACGTCACTTCTGGACAATGAATTTAAGGCATTTTGAAAGAATAATGGTTTCTGCTTTTGTTTATGTTAATGGGTTAAATCCGGTTATATTTCTTGAGTGGGTTGATTTGATAGGTTTAGCACGTGACGGTCCCGCTTACAGGCATTTTCAAGCATTATTTACACTTTTTGAACGGGGTAACTACAGCCGAGCTTTGTACGCCTTCAACGTGGGAAACCGTAGATACGAATATCTTGACGGATCAGTCCGAAGATACATTCATCGCAGTCTAAGAAATTAAAGGTAAATGCTTTCTACGGAATCATACGATAATTAACGAAAATACACGAAAATATATTGTCCGTAATATATTTATAGATTTAGCAAGCGTCTAGGTGACCCAGATCAGATTGTGTATGGGAAATGCCCCTAGGGGGCGTTAACCGGATATTGCCAAAATTTTCCTCCATTAAAGTTAAGTTCAGTCCGATCAGTTTATGATCGTTTCCGATCATTTTTGTCTGACAGCCGTCAACCATTTTTGGTTGTTGATCGTTTTTCTACCATTCCAACCACTTTTGGGCAGTGGTTGGGCGTTTTCATATAAATACGGCGAAATCAGCCGTTTGGGTCAGTCTAGTCTTGTCTTTCTTAGAAGCAGCATCCCTTTACGCTGTCTTTGACTGTTAGAATATTTGAAACATTAGAAATTTTGGCGGCCATTTAACTTATTGTATAAATTCGTCTGCGGTCTAGCGCCATTAATTTTAGTAAGCCAGATTCTTTATAGAAAGACGATTTATTTACAAGATACTCATTTTATAAGAATTTACATCATAATTTGTTACTGTCTTGCATTATATAATTAATACTTATTGACTTTGAACATTATTTTTCTGCTGTTATTGAAAGTATCATAAGTTAATAAACTCATAAGTTATAATAACATCTAGATATCTGATATCTGTGTGTATTTAATTACAAATGAACATTGCTCATCATTTTACTGTGAATAATTGTGACAGTTGCTGCTATATATAATAACTTATATATTATATTGTGTGTTGACATTAATTTATTTATACACAAAATAAATTTTGTTAAAGTGATACATCTGATTTGTTCTACATTTTTGATATACATATCTGGTTCAACTGCTAGTAAAGGGCTCATCTTCAAGGTCTTTGCCCAATTAATTCGAACCATTAGTGCAGTAACGTCCCTATAAGATTGCAAAAGAAAGCGCTACCAAAAATAGATCAACAGACAACTCCTGCTAAAGCCCTGTACTGCCGGCACGCGACATACTATATTTCGTGGTGGAAAGCGGTGGGATCTGATTCAAAACTCGTCAGATCCAGTAATCGAACCAACACTTCAAGTATATAGAATCATTTATCCAGATTTACCATAGCATCCTTTGGTAAGATGGCCGAACCAAGCAGCGTAGATAGCGAAGGCATTATATCTTTTAGAGAAAATCAAAATACAAGTTGTAATGATGAGCCTTCTGATGGTTGTGACACAGATTATTTAGACGTTGACTCTGATGCTGGTATCCACTTATCAAGGGAGATCACAACAGGTAATGGTGATTCACAAAATGTAGTTATACAAGAGATGTCAGTCATGATGAATGATGTAACAAGTGTACTTAGAGATGTAGTCCTAGAGTTGAAAGACTTAAGAAAGTCGACTTTGCAGACAAATAATAGCAACAATCAACCTGATAGTATTATTTCAAATTCTCATACCAACAACATAGAAAATACACAATCACACACGCATGTTAACAATAATGCTGATTCACGACAAATTAGAATGGACAGTGTAGGTAACACACAAAACCAGAATGGTAATCATGAATGTACAACAACCCCAAGTTACCCCCACTATCGTGAGTTCGTACCCAGAGTCCATGCACAAACTTATGATAGATACAAACCCCCTTACAACTCCACTGATAATGACAATGCTTTATTGGACAGCAATGTATCCGTTTTTATTATGCCGATCCAACTTGGTACAATTTAGAGGCAATTACGCAAATGGTCTTCCATACAACTCAAGAGCCTCACATAGTAGCATACCTGTTAAGATTCCAGCATTCACTGGTAATGAAGATTGGGTTGTTTGGATAACACGCTTTGAAGCTATTGCGCAGAGATGGGGTTGGACCGAGAATGAGATGCTTGACCAGCTTTTACCGAATATCGAAGGACACGCAGCGAATTTTGTGTTTTCACAGCTTCATCCGTCACTTCTACATAGTTGTAGAGACCTTAAGGTTGAACTTAACAACCGCTACAGAACTATTGAGACACCGAGACTATTTGCTTCTAAGTTCAGCAAAAGATCGCAAAAGGTCGGTGAGACTGCTGAAGAATTTGCCGCAGAATTGAAGGTCCTATATGATAAGGCGCACGGGTTCCGAGACAGGAAAACAAGAGATGAAGACCTGGTGCGTAGGTTCCTTGATGGACTTCGAGATGACGAGATAAGGTTTGCTGTTGAATATGGTAAAGAGCCAGAAACAGTAGACGAAGCTGTCTTTCATGTGGTCAACTACATACAGACCAGGAGAAATAGAGAGGAAGAAATAGGGAAAACCTTAGAAGAACAAGTCAGTGGACAGATAAAAATTCAGATGATGTTGTACGCAAAAAAAGAAAATAACCATTCCAACTTGCACAGCAGTAGTCAACCGGGTAAAACAAATAGTTATTTTTAAGAAATCTTCATCTCGTGCTGTAAACACACTCGAAGGCACAAGTGAGCGTAAGATGTTAGAGACTGTTCTAGAAAGACTAGAAAGGCTCGAAGATAGATTTGGTCAAGGTAGGCGAAAAGATAATTCAAAACAGCGTAGTGAATGCTACAACTGTCACAAACTGGGACATTTTTGCACGAGGAATGCCCAGAAAGAGCAGCAGAGCCAGAACGCAAGGTACAGGATACCCCTAAACATTTGATTTGATAGAACACTAGGGATTGATTTAAACTTCATGGGACCAAAACTCTTGCGGCCAAAGAGGGGTCCTGTTAGAGCATGTAGGCAAAAGAGAACCCATTGGTATTTGATACCATGGCTTAGAGAGGAAAGGTACTCTGATAAAAGGGCAAAGGGATTGGCAGGTCTGCAGAAAGCTAGTGAGGTGCCAGCTGATGATAAGGGGCAGGTAACTAGCATGAGGGCAGACGAGTCTGTCAATGAGCCGTTCGAGGTTGTTGGAAAGAGCAGAGTTAAGCAATGTAAGGAACATGAGCGATGGTATCTATATCAAGGGGTCTGTTGAAAATGTACCGATAGTTTTTACAGCAGATACTGGGGCATCTAAGTCTGTAATTTCATTTCGTGTTTATAATAAGATAAGCAAGGATAAGAAGCCGACTTTGAAGGACTCAGCATGTTTGCGAGGTGCAGGTGGGGCGCCAATAAAGGAATATGGCAAGGCAACATTCGCGATGAAACTAGGGCCGTTGGAGCTTTGAAACTGAAGCAGTGGTAGCGGATATTGAAGATGACGTACTGATAGGGGTCGACGTTTTGTGTTGCAAAGGTAGGGATGCAGCTGACCTTTTGCTTAGTCGAAATGTACTGATTCTTCAAGGGGTTGAAATACCATGTTTTCAGGTAGGCAAGGGCTGCAGCTCCAGACAAGTATCAATCGCAGAAAATGTTAAAATACCAGGGCAAGCTGAGATGCTTATTGATGTTTATGTCAACAGAGTCGAGGAAGATGACTTCGACAAAGAAGCTGAGTACCTTGTCGAACCTAATGATAGTTTCGCTGAAAAATATAAACTGATGATGGCCAGTACTCTGGTAGATATCAATAAAGACACAACATGCAAAGTGAGAGTTTTAAATCCATTTTCACATTCAGTTACGTCAAGACAAGATGCTATAATAGGCAAGGCAGAGAAAATTGAAGGTGTATGTAACATGATAGTAGAGAAGGAAAATCCAAATGAAAGTGAAAATCTTAAGTGCATACGTAGGGTAGATGTCGCAAGTCCTCCAGATATTAAAGATATGCCCTTTAAGTTGGCAACCGAAGATGAAGTGCCTGATCATTTAAAAGAACTGTTTAAGAGATCAACCAAGAACAGGACAGAAAAAGAAAAACAAGCTGTCGCTGCACTGTTTGTGAAATACGGCAATACGTTCTCTAAACACGAATGGGACATAGGGCTGACTCATTTAAATGAGCATTCGATAGATACCGGAAATGCTCAGCCAATAAGGCAAAGACCAAGACGCGTCCCTCTAGCATTTGCTAGTGAAGAGAAACAAGCAATAGAAGACCTGCTTAAAAAGGGCGTCATTCAAAAAAGCACGTCGCCTTGGTCAAGCCCCATTGTGTTGGTCCGCAAAAAGTCAGGAGCAGTACGACCTTTGTGTTGACTACAGGAAAATAAACAAAACTTGTGAAAACAAGACGGGTTTCCGTTACCTAGGATACAAGATTGTTTAGATGCTGTTTCAGGGTCTAGCCTTTTCAGCAGTTTTTGATCTCACTAGCGGTTTATTTTCAAATTTCCGTTTGAAACAAGAGGACATACCTAAAAGCTCTTTCGTTTGCAAGTAATGGTCAATTCGAGATGACCCCGCATGCCATTTCGGGCTTTATGTAACTCAGCTAGCACCTTTCAAACGCACAATGGAAATTGCTTTACAAGGTCTTCAATGGGTCACCTGTTTAGTATATATTGACGATATTATTGTCTTTGCGTCAAACTTTGAACAACATTTGCAGCGTGTCGAACGAAGTGTTAAAGGCAGGAATTAAAGAAGCAGGCTTTAAAGTTAAAGCCTGAGAAGTGCCAATTACTATGCAGGAAGAAGTTGTCTTCCCTTGGCCATGTTGTTTCTGGAGAAGGCGTTAGACCCGACCCCTGCGGAATATCGCAAAAGTCGCTCAGTGGCCAAGACCTCAAAATGCCAAACAAGTCAAACAATTTGTAGGCAACTGGTCTTATTACCGTAGGTTTGTCAAAGATTTTGCCAAAAATTGGCACGCCCATTAACTCAACTTACAAGGAAAGAAAGCAAATTTATATGGGGACGACACCTGTGAAACAGCATTCAATAAAAATCAAAGAGGTTTACTAACAAGTACAGTTGTGATGGGGTACCCGCTAAATGATGGTGAGAGTCTTTTATTTAGACGTAGATGCTTCGGGGTATGGACTCGGCGGTATTCTCCATCAAGACCAGAGCGGTCATGAGCGCGTGATTGCGTACGCAAGTAGGGGGCTATGAATAAGGCGGAGCGTAACTATTGCGTCACTGAAACAAGAGCTATTGGCTATTAAGGTATTTTTTGTGCAGTACTTTCGACAGTATTTTGCTTGGGAGAAGATTGGTTGTACGAAGTGATCATAAAGCTCTTCACCTGGCTATTCAAGTTTGCAAGAAAACCTAATGCGTAAAATCGCTAGATGGCTGAGAAATTCTCAGGCCCCATTTGATTTTTCGATACAGTACAGACCAGGAAAGCAACAGGGGTTCATTGTGATACCCTGTCCAGGTGCGAATCCCCAAGAGATTTGTTGCTGTAGTGAAAGTAGATATGAGCGAACCAACTCAAGTGCGGTCCATGTCTAAAATGCCGAAAACGCGCCAAAGACATGCAAGCGAAAGGTTGGTCGGAAACAAGTGATGAACTAGAGAGTGGTACCAATCAGCTGCAGGTCAGATCTGTTTTCCCAAGTACAAGCACTGGGATTGGTTTTGCTGGTAATCCCTCCGAGAACCAAAGAAGAAACAACTGTTTTGGCCTCTGTTTACCAGAATCCATGGCAGTAGCACAAAGAGAAGATCCAGACCTTTTGCTGATAGTGAAGGCGCTCGAAGCAAGACAAAAGCCGAGGAGTGAGACCATGATTGACAAAAGTCCAGCAGCACGGCACTATTGGATTTCGTGGGATTCCTTGACCTTAAGGAATGATGTCGTTTACAAGGTTTTCAGTAAAAAAGATGGCACGGATGAATATACACAACTCGTGGTCCCGCGAAAATATATCAAAGCTGTGATGTCACTTTGCCATGACTCACCTACTGGTGGACATCTAGGTATTCGCAAAACCAAGGGTTTAAAAAAAATTTAAGCTTCTTTTGGGTTCAATTTTGAAGGAAGATTTTTCGATTATATTTTTACAACCCCTGGGGACATTTTGTGCTGGGGGATCGGAAGCCGCAAAAACCGGGCAAAAGCCCCCTCTTGGCAGACAAAAGGGCTGGTGCACCTTTGGGACTTACAGAAAGGGGATAATGTTGGACCATTTCCAGTAACTCCACGTAACAACAGATATGTGTTGGTTTTAACCGACCATTTTTCTAAGTACGTCGAAGTAATAGCAGTGCCAAATCAGTCAGCTGAAGAGTGCGCTTTGAGAGTTCTAAACGATGTTATAGCAAGATGGGGCACGCCGTTAAACATTCACAGTGATCAAGGACCTTCATTTAGCGCTGAGTTTTGGTTTTCAAGAATCTGTGTTCTTTACTCCAAATCAAGAAAACTAGGTGTAGTGTTTCGAAACCCCAGGGTAATGGTCAAGCGGAAAGATTCATGGAAAACGCTGGTCCAAATGATTAAGGCATATCTAGTTGGTGAACAAGATCAATGGGATCTATACCTTGGTTGTTTAGCAGGTGCGTACAGGTCAACTCCCAATGAAACAACCAAGTTGACCCCCTAATTTGCTGACTATTGGGCGAGAAATTCGTTTACCTGCCGACCTTATATTTCAACATGTGATGGCACAGCTGGTACAATCACAAATCTTGGCGATTATGTACAGAGCCTAAAGGATAAAATGCTTCACGCACACGAGGTTGCCAGGGCGACATTTAGGTGCCAATGCGAAGAGACAAAAAGAAATCTATGATGCTAAGTTTGTCCTTCACAAAGTATTCAGCCGGTGACTTGGTATGGTGCTTACATGAGACAAGAAAAAGTTGTCGTAACACCGAAGCTGGAAAAGGCATATGATGGTCCATTTGTGATTAAAACTAAAATGTCAGATATCAACTTTGTACTTCAGGTTGATGAAAAAGGGGACAGAAAGGCTTGTGCATCATAATAAGCTTAAGTTGTATCTGGGAACAAGTCCACCGCTTTGGGCAGATCGTTTAGCCAAAAAGTTAAAATCAAGTTAGATGATTACGCGAATTTATCAAGTATTGTGTTAATGTGTAACATGAATATATGATTGTATATATTACATTACTCAGGAATAAAACTTTTGCTTTTGAACTCTTTTGTGTATGTAGAATGTGATGAGAATAATTCTCTTTTGTGTATACTATGTGATGAAAATAATTAAAACGTTTTTGTTCCTTGTAAAAATTCATTAAGATAAATATGTGTTTACAATGACTGTGTAAGTGCAGAAAATTTTAGACAAACGATAAACTGTCAAATTTACTTTTAAGAAACGCGTACATTTTAGCCCGAGTTTGCTGTCAGAAATATGGTCGTAAAGTTCAAACATGTAAATAAAGTTCGCGTAAATACCATATGGGCGAAAGTGTCATTTCGAATTTGTGAGTCTTTTGCGATTTTTCTACCAACTAATACATCAACAATTCGTTACATAACACGGAAGGGCATCGACACGGTAGTCTTAAACAACAAAAAGAAGTAACGCAGAAATAGTCTTCTTCGTTTCAAGTCAGTGAGCCACACCGCCATTTGATATAATGTTTGACTATCACTTGAACAATCCTTTCTTATTCTTTCATATTGGCATGTCTCTGTCACAGTTTCGTAACAGAGGGGGGCGTACAAGTGCAAGAGGGGCACCAAGGGTCCAGCGAAAAGGTAGAAATGGTTTTGCGCACATACTCAAGCACCATTGTACCGTTTTGATAGGGTACCATTTTGCATGCTCTTTGTGTGGGTTCCCGCTGTCTGGTAAGCAAGCCTTGATGGACCACATAACCAAATTACACGAGACATTTAGGGAGGAGGAAAGTCGCTTATTGGTTACTCCCGACTACAAAAAGATCTTACACATGGCTTGGTAATCCGTATCAGATTGGGGATGATGACATGGAACAGCTGTCAAGGGATGAGTCCCTTAGATGGCACGCCAAGAACCAAATCCAAGAGGGGCCAGATGACAACGATTGTTTTTTTGAAGAGGACGAGGAGGTAGTTCAGGAGGCATGGTGTTACCACAATGGATGGCTTGGAACAACAGTTCTGGGAAAGACTGCCACTGCTACGGCACCACCATCCACTCCAGCTATAACCAAGCCAAATGTGAGGACCCCCCTTCAGACACTGCCTATGCTGACTCAGCACGACTTAGCTGAAACTGTCGTACAGACCTACACAACAACAACAACTACCACAAAAAGGACGAACTCCACAGCAAAATCAACAATTAGCCATCAACGTCAGCTCTTCACCATCAATAGTAACGACCTGCTTTCATTCCAAGACCACTACCACGGATTTCCATTCCAACAGAAAGACACCAACAATAACTTAATGGACGAAATTTTGAACACACCCGTAATTAACCAGAGAACACCACTTAACACACCTTGTCTTGATTGAAATAGTTGTTCAAGAAAACTATGCCAACGACCCCTTATTTCGGGAAGATTTACAAACTGACAGTTCTAGAATGGAACCACTAACCAAACGACGAAAGACGACAACAGACAAGGAGCAGGCAGACAGAAGACCAAGAAGCAGGTACGACACCCAACATAACGAAGGCCATCAGTGATGCCGCCAAACTCATCGCTGATGCCATAAATTGAAATACAAGTTGCTGTTCAGAGTAATGAAAAAGCCCTTCATAAAATTGGAGATGAACTCGTCAGGGTGGAGAGGAAGCTTTTTCAAATTGAGCGCGTATGCACGATCATGCAACAACAACAACATCAACAACAGGAACCTCATCATAATGAACATTCAGAAAATAAGGAAAACAAAAAATCAAACAAGCATTGAAGAGTGTAGTTAAAAAACTGTGAACTGAACAATTACAATAAAGATGTATTTGATGGACTTTTAATGATCAACCTGCTTAATACTATAATGTGATTTTTAAAACACAAACATGGACATTTATTACGATTTAACAAAAGTGAACAAAATGATACCACAATTGAATACATATAATTTGGTATTGACTTTAAGACAATACAGTGATGCCTCCAAAAGTGAATTATCAGAAATTACAAAATAAGCTGTACATGTTTTAACTTGAAGAAAAATGTGTTATGAACTTTATGATGTACAGTGACGTTTCAAACGTGTATGAACTTTATTGATGTACAGTGACGTTTTCAAATTGTAGTATGAACTTTATGATGTACAGTGACGTTTCAAACGTGTATGAACTTTATGATGTACAGTGACGTTTCAAATGTGTATGAACTTT